TTAGAAGAAGTAAACTAAGACATGTGGCTTAGGTTTTTTGATTTGTTGTTTGTTTTTGGTTTTTTGCTTTGTTTTGTTTGGGGGAGATCTTAAGAGAAGAAAGAAAAGAAAATGGAAAAAGGAATATATTAGGAAAGAACTTATCTCAGATTGTTATTCAGTTGTTTCAGTCCTGTCCAATTCTTCATGACCCCATTTGGATTTTTCTTTGCGAAGATACTGGAGTGATTTGCCATTTTCTTCTTCAGCTCATTTTACAGATGAGGAAACTGAGGCAAATAGGGTTAAGTGACTTGCCCAGGGTCACACAGCTAGTAAGTGTCTGAGGCCAGATTTGAACTCAGATCTTCCTGACTCCAGGCTCAGTACTTTATCAGCTTTATCACCTACCTGCCCTCGGATTATTGGTGTGCAAATAAAATTATACACACATGCAGGAAGTAGTAGGGAAATATGTAATATATGAACCTCACTTTAATGTAAACCAGACAAAGAAAGGTAGAACACATATTCACATCTGCCCAGAGTTGGTACAGAAATACATTAGATACTAAAACAGGAGAGAATTGGGAGAAGTGAAAAAGCAGGAAAAAGGGTAGATTCAAGAAAGAGTTAGTGAAAAGCAAATCAAGCTTCAATCTCAAGAGATGCATTATAAAGCAAAGTATCAAAGGGAAGGAAGGAAAGTAAGTACCTGTGATTTGGGTTTTGGCAAGTAGAAGATAAATGGGAGTGTGAAATGAAATGGAAGCGAATTTCATCAAGTGCAGATCACTAGTGTTGAGCACACTCTTCATCCTTCTTTGTAAGGAGAGGGACAGTGAGTAAACAAAGGAAACTTTACAAGAGAATAGAATGTAGAAGAATATACAAATGTCAGATTATAACCATAAGCATAAATAGTATTAACTCACCCATTAAAAAAAAGAGGACAGCAGAAGAGACAAGTGGGGCACAAAAAACTCATTAACCAATTCAGAAAAACAAAAACATTAATCATATTCTCTACTTACCACAGCACAAAAATTATAATCAATAAAGGGTATTTGAGGAAAGGACTCAAACTTAATTGGATACTAAGTAATAAAGTCCTGGTTGCCAAAGAACTAATTACAGAAAGGATAACTTTACCAAACAAAATTACAACATTGAAACAATGTAAATAAAACTTTTCAAATGTAGCCAAGGCATTTCTTATAGTAGAATTTGTGTTTCTATATACATTCATCAGAAGGGGGAGCAGTGAATTGGGCATGTAATTAAACAGCCTAGACAAAAATCAGTTCTTTAAATGAACACAAGAATAGAAATTTTTAAAATCAAAGAAGAGAGAAACAAAATTTTAAACAAACCATGGAATAATAGAGAAATAAAAGTAGGAGCTGGGGTTTTGTTTTTGTTTTTGTTGTTGTTCTTGTTGTTTTTAGGCAATTGGGGTTAAGTGACTTGCCAGGATCACACAGAGCTGGTTTTTTTAAAATACTCATAGGTAAACAATTAGTGAATCTGATTATAAAGATGAGAGGAAAACCAAATTACTAAACTTGAAAACTGAAAATTCACAACAAATGAAGAAATAAAGGAAAGACTTAGAAAATATTTTACCTAAATTATATGCCTTCAAAGCTGGTAAATTAAATGTAACAAATGAATATTTACAAAAATATGTACCTACGGTAATTGGATAAGAAATAGATCATTTTAATGGCCTACTGTTGGGGGGGGGGGGAAAGAAATTGAACAAATTATAAATGTACTTCCAAAGAAAGAAAGCTCAGTTCCTGATAGGTTTACAAATGAATGTTTATCAAATATTCAAAAAACAATTAACTCCAACTTTGAGAGAGGAGAGAGATAGCAACTTACTAATCACTTTTTGTTAGACAAATATATTTTTGTTGTACAAACCAGAGATAGATAAAGCAAGAAGGAAAGTATTTCCAAAGTAATTCCAATTTCCAATTTCCAATGGCATTCTTGAACAAAATATTAGCAAAGGAGCTATAGGATAATATTGTAAAAGTTATACACTATGACCTGGTCAGATTTGTACTAGCAATGCAATATTATTTCACCCTTAGAAAAACTATAAACATAATAGACCACATTAATAATAAAAATTGCATGATTTATATCAGCATATTCAGAAAAAAGCTTTTGACAAATTACAGTTGATAAAAAGAGATTATAAAATGTGAAATCAAATGGACCTTTTATCATTATAATAAATGGTGTCTTAGATCTAAAACCAGTAACTGGCTGTGAGAGTGCAGGGACACTAATACATTATTGGTGAAGTTGTGAAATGGCCCAAATAACTGTTAACAAATTTGGAGCTGTAACGTGAAAGTCACTATACTATGCTTATATTCCCTTTATCCTAGTGATATACTGGTATTTGGCATATCCCCCAAAGAGATCAAGTAAAGAGAGAAAGGACCCTAACTATATGTGTCCATCATTTGGGAAATAGTCAAACAGACCTTGATATATAAATGAATGGAGTATCATTATGTTGTGAGAAATAACTATTTGGACAGATTCAGAGAAACCTGGGAAGACATAAGCTAATGTAGATTGAAGTCAGTAGACTTAGGAGAACAGTGTACACAATGACTACAATGAAATTAAGAACTCTAATTATTAGAATGTCTAATCATGCTGCAGAAGACTTAACAATGTTTCAAACCATGCATTCCTCATTTTGGCAGAGAGGACCGGAGGTACAGGAAGAGATAGCTCATGCTTTCATTGGTTTTTGCTTAACTCTACTTTTTTATTTCAAGAGTTCTCTGTGGGGAGGGGGAGCATAATGAGAAGATGTGTTTAGTAATAGTGAAACACAAAAGAAAAAAGTATCAATGAAACATTAGAAAATACCCAGAGCAGAAATAAGTCTAGAAGACAGCGTTGTGTTAATACCATGTTAAATTTAACGTACACTTTTTAAAAACTGTACATAATAATTTTTCTATTCCTTACAGATCAACATATTCATGTTTGATATCTAAGTTCTTATTTTTTTAAATAGACTACTTTCTATAAGTAATGGAAGAAGTTACAGTATCATAGATGTTACTGGTCATTTAGTCTCATCTTCATTTTACAAATGAAAAAACTGAGGCTCCAGAGAGATTAGGAGGAAGTAGCAGAGTCAGCATTCAAGCACCAGTCTTCTCTCCACTGCATTGCCTTATCTCCATACTAAAACCTCATGCATGTTTTGTTAATTATCTCAATCTCTGTCCCTCTCACCTTCACTATATATTTCCAAATTCCCACAAGTACTTCCACTAAAATGTCCCATTATCTCCTCAGATTCATTATGTCTATCATTTTCAAATAAAACTGCATCCCCTTCCCGGCTGTACTATTTTTATCACTGAAACCATAATAATTCTGTTCTCCCTGACTTTACTTTAAAAAAAATGTTACTGATGCCTTTTGTTTTTTTAAACCACAAAGAAAAACCAAAGCACAAAACAACTGCATCTGATGCACCATTCTGCTCCAGAGCATTCATCTGTTAACCAAGAGGAGGAAAATATTTCCATCATCCATTCTCTGGGACCAAAATCACTCATTTTAATTTATTTGAGTTTAGTTGTATTTGTGTTATTTCATTTATATTATTCTGAGGTGGGTGAAGGGCTGTTCGTGTGTGTGCACACACATGTATTAATTCTTCTCCCTTTTTTGTTTGCTTCATACATATCTTCCTTATTTCTCTGAATTCCTTGTAGTAATCACTTCTTAGAATGTAATGGCATTCCATTAGATTCAACCTGTTTGTTCAGACATTACTCAAATGTTGAACACCCACTCTGGTTCAAATGTTTGTTACAGTTAACAGTGGTGCTATGAATATGTCTTTGTCATACTTCAGGTAAATGCCTGTTGTGGGTATGAACAGTTACTGATTTTTCTTCATAATTATAGACTATTTTGTAAAAACAATTGTACTAGTTCACAGCTTTACTAATAGCCCTAGTCCAACGAAACAAGCGTTTTTCAGTACCTGTTATGTACAAGGTGCTGTGCTCAGTACTAGGAATACAAAGAGTCGTTTGATCAGGGACCCAAAAGGTTCTTTTTCTCCTGTAGCATCAAGTCCAAAGTCTCCTGCCTCCTTTTCAAGGTCCTTTGTAATCTGGCTCCAATATGTCTTCTCCAAATACCATAAACAATTCTTCTTTGAATTCTTGCATTTATGTGCTCATCCTCTCATTATTGAATATCACTTGGTCTTGTCTTCCTGTGTCCTACTTTAGGCCAGGGATCATGTCTTTTCACTTATTTTGTATTTTCTTTGATTCCAGGTACAATCCAATTAAATGTAATAGACATCTGACAAATATTTATTTTAGATTATTTTTAAAGTCTGTACCTAATATTTATCTTGAATTATATAGATTTCTTTTGAACTGATTTCAGAATATATTATCAATGGATATGGTTCAGTTTCTCAATGAATAAATCAGTTCATTGGTTGAACAGAAATTGTCCCTTTAGTAAAATAGCAGTTAAATTAGTTTTAAAACTGTGGTTCTTAATACTCTCACTGGAGAAGGAAAAAAAGGTAATTTGGGATTGAAGTAAATTTTCTACTTTTGTCTATTTCATATTTGTCCATTGCCCATAAAAATAAATAAAAATAATTTCTTAGATTAACATTCTGATTGTAAACATTTCAGATGAATGAAAAAGTAGCTCCAGAATTGGGGAAGAGTCCCAGCTGGATTACTTTTTGGAAATTTAATGCTTTAAGTGATTTTGTCTCTGCAAAAACCCATTTCCAGTGCCAGTTAAGATATTGACACACATGAAAGATGGCTTGGCTAATGAGGAAAACATAAACTAAGTTAGCACAATATGTTTAATGAGCTTTAAATTCACTGTTGTAGGACTTTGGTAGATTTTATTTTGCTTTTATCAATTTATTTTAATCCTCATACTATCATCATCAAATGGTTAACAATGCACTTTTTAAAAATATACAGCCAGATTCTACGGCAACTGAAAGAGCAATTGCTAGACTAGCTACGCATCCATTACTGAAGAAGAAAATAGATGCATTGAAAGGTATGAATTAAATTATTTCACAAATATAATCATGTTCTATTTGGAAATATTTCTTTGCTGTTAAAAATATAATGAACTTCGTGATTTATTTCAAATCACATTGTTTCCTAATGACTGTAATGGCTGACATCTTTAATTTTTTTTTTCAAATCTCATATTTTACTAATAGAATAGTGACTGATAGATAGCTATGCACACTCAGTATGACATAATGAACTATTGCTTTTGACTGACATAATCATATCATTTTGTATATATCACAATCATATTGTAAGTGCAATTAATAAAATGTTGCGTTTTTCAAAAATAAGTTGAAAAGATATGATGGCATCTAGCACTGGTATTAATGGTTGAAGAATTGGCTTTTTTTCTGTTATTCCAGTTATTTCTATAAAAATTCAAATGCTATTTCTATTTGACTTAAACTCAGCCAAGTTTGAACCCTTAACTTGTATCTCTTTACTTAAAAAGAATTGTAGACATTTTACTGTGAATTTTAAAGATTTCAGTGAATAGGATTAAGTATACTGTCTATAAAGGGTTTCCCGAATTCAAGAAACTTTCTGCCTCATTTCTAACCCATATTGTATGTCTAATATAATGCCCTATCTTAAGTAATGTGTTTCTAAGTAATGTAAAAAGCCCTTCTAAGTGTTTCCAAGTAACATAAAAAGTACTTGACCTTTGAAGTTTTTATAACATATATGTCTCAAATTATTTGTTTTACTTTTCTGTAGCTGCTGTCAAAGCATTTAAAGATTCAAGACAGAATATTACTGAAATTGAATCATTGAAGGATTCTTCTGAAGAAAATTACAGTGAGGACACAGGAGTAAAGCAGAGCTCTCCTGACAATTTGAATAAATTCGAGCACCAAGAAAGTACAGTAAAAAAGGAAGAAAATGTTAAAATGTTATCAAAGAAGCCAAACACACTTGAAAAACAAATTGGTAAGATGGCAGACAAGCAGAAAATAGGTATTCCTCCACCTATGGCATTAAAACCTTCTCAGGAGCCTTCTCTGAATGCTTTTGAAACCCGAAATACAGATAGGAAAAATCTTGCCATCACCAACAAGACAAATGGAACAAAAATTTCTACCATCATCACTAATGATAGCAGTGATGTGAAAGAACAGAGTGAAGAAGAGAAGGAATATTTTGATGATAGCACAGAAGAAAGGTTTTATAAACAGTCTTCGCTGTCTGAAGATAGTGATAGTGATGATGATTTCTTTATTGGGAAAGTTAAGAGGACCAGAAAGAAGGAAAATAGCTGCTGTTCTTCAGTTAAGGACCAAAAGACTTCCAAAAAAGTGTCACCTGAAGAAGAAAAGCTTGAGAAACTGGGGAGTATGGAGAAAATGAGGCCAACTACAAAAGCCAGGAGGCTAGAATCAACATTTTTTTCTTCTTTATCTGAATCCAGAAGGACAAGAAGGTAAAGCCATTTTCCTGTACTGAAATAACAATCAGAATTCTTGTTTTATTTAGAGACAGCTGCACAAATAAATAGTATTAGCAAATTGTATGAATGTTAAAAGTCCGTGGAAGTTTCATGGGGGTTTCTGTTTTAGGTAACTATAACCAAATATACACTAGCACATCCCCTTTGCAGAGTTTTGCTCTTGTCGTTTTTCCAGTCTTTTTTATGGAATTGTTTATATTACAGTAATGTATTCAATAGTGTCTCAGTTATCCAGCATCATTTAAGTTATTTTTTTCACTTAACTAAACCTTAGCTCTTTAAATACCCAAACTTTAAAAATTCTGTTTATAATGAAAACCTTTGTAAAATGTGTTAAATGTTTACTTTGTCTTCTTCAAGAGTGTTTCCGAGCAGAACTTGAGCATTTTTTTTTAATAAATCATGGTCTTCATTATAAACATCAGTTATTGCAAGTGTTATAAGAAAGGGCCTGATGTAAAGTTGTACTCCTGTGCCTCATTGTGGCATTGATATTACCTTAGGTAGAACCATAGAAGGTTATCTTGCCATATTTTGCTAGTACTTTGCCTAAGGTAATTTTTTTTAATGCCTCATCATGGCAAGATGGTGATTCTGGAGGCCTTGCCAGTAGAGCACATGCTCTGGTCACTGCTTCTTCTGGAAGGATTTCTACTATATGGGAGACAGACAACATGAAACTGTATGTTCTTCTAAGAGAAAAATGCACCAGTGAAAATATTGATCTTTTAAAAGTAAAGTAATTCAAAGGTGAGAGACTGTTGAGTTAGGGAGATGCTGTTTGCCCTTACCATATTAAGTGACCTCTGACTACAGGTTATTGACTGTGCTAATAAATATCATTTCTTAATATTTCAGCTTCTAGCAATTCTCCTTTCATATTGGTTTTAATCTGCTGTCTTATTGTAACCTATGAGAAAATCAAATAGCATTTGTTACATCATTGATTTTCCATGCAATTCTACAGCTCCCTCAAAGTTGATGGTGATGCCGTTCTCCTCTGCTTTTGAACTTTATGAGAACTGCTTTCCTCAGGAGTTTTATTTCTCGTAATTCAAGGTTTGAGAGTGTTCTCTGAATGGGAAACATTTCAGAAATGGAAAAGTGTGGCATGGCTTCATGTTAACTATTGTTGGAGTTTTCTAATGGAACAAATATTGAAGAAGTATTATGGCATAGTGGACAGGGTACTCACTGTACCTAGAATCAGGAAAACTCAGCTCCAAACCTGCTTCTGACACTTAGTAGCTATGTGACCCTGGGCAAGTCAAATAGCCTCTTGTGCTTCAGTATGTCAGAGTTATATTTGCTGGTCTTCTAAAGATCCTTAGCTCCAAATCTGTGATCCATAATCATATAAAATATACTTGCCTTCCAATTATCTCATAAACCTGTCTCACTTTTGAGACAAGTAGGAAGCCAGAAGTTCAAAGACATAATTTTAAATTATTTTCTTAACTGAAAATAGCATACCACTCGATTGTAGTTGTTTGTTGGTGTTAGTTGTGACCAGTCATACTACCTTGTCCCTTCTGTGTTCTCTCAGATTCCCCAAAATATGAACACCAGGTTGGGAATGTCCTTTACATATGAACAACCTCCCTGACAACTTCCTGCTATGGCAGGGGACCTTGCTTCCTGCCAAGATACTGGCTATGACTGTTGGAACTCAAAACATATGTTCCCATTTAAAAAAATAAAACTGCTATAAATCATAGTGTCCCAGACTATTGTATTCACACACACACACACACACACACACACACACACACACACACACACTTGCGGCAGTGTTGCTTTTCTAATTTGTTTCTTGGTGTTTTCTTAGGGGAAAGGGAACAATTATACCCATAGTATTTCAGCTATCATGTTTCAGTATTACAGCTGTAGTATAGCGATAGTATGTATTTTGACTTGTGTGACATAGCCTAGAAACCTAAGTGCTATCTCTAACATTGCTAATATGGGAAAATGAATTTCATGTTGCCAACTGTGGTATACCATGCAAAAATGCTGATCTAGGAGTAGAGACCTACATTTGACTCCTGTCTCTCTCTCTCTCTCTCTCTCCTGTCTGTCTGTCTCACATACACACGCACACACACAATCTGTATAATCACAGGCAACTCCCTTAACCTCATAGACTCAGTTTCTGTATATGCAAAAATGAGCATAATAATACTTGTCCTACCTGCTTCCCAGGCTCTGTAAATGTGAATTATGCCTACTCCAGTCCTAAACATTTTAAAATATGGAAGAGTTGTTTCAGTTTTAAAGAATATATGAAAAACAAGGTAACCACATTTTAATACTAGAAAGAAATAATACCGATTTTTTTCCCTAATCTTGCCATAACAATGGAAATTTTTTTGTTGAATACACATCACCTGACAGTCTTAAATTCCTTGGCTTTTGCTTCACTCCCCATATTTAACTTTGAAAAGTTTTTAAAGATAGGATTTTGTACTGCCTTACATTCAGCATTTTGTGATCATTTTTTGGTTACTCATATCTTTTAAAAATTCTAGCTCTTTCTTTTTCTCTTAAAAATGATAATGTAATTTTTTTTTCCTTTTAGAAATGCCAGAGAACAGTTTCCTCAAAACAGAATTCCAGGTATGTATGAATTGTCTATACTGAGGCAAAGTGACAATAAAAATCTCAGTGGTTTTAAAGACAAAGTATAGTTTTATTTGTTTCACTTTGATTTTGTTGAAAAGAGTGTGACTATTTCTAAAAAATAATATGTATTTTTATATCCCAGAGTGTTGATTTGTGTTGTGGAAATTATTCGCTTTGCTCTTACCTCATAATGAGAATAATTGATACTGAATATTTGGGAATAAGTTTTGTATTCATTATTATTTATGTGATTACATTTGCGTTTGACCAAATGACCTCTAAGGTCCTTTCTAGCGGTAAAGGTTTTAATTTTTATGTTATGTGACACAAAATATATTGTATAGCCTTCATGCTTTCTCTTTTGTCCTGTCTATAACCTCATTTTGCCATAGACAAGAATGCTTCTTTTTTGGATGGATATGTTTTTCCTCTCAGTAAAAGAGATTTGAGGAATAAAGTTGTCATGTATAGTGTTAAGTATCTCCAGGCAGATGCCCTTTCTGTAGTGATGATTAAAGGAAAATGGAGTGATGAACCATTATCTATTAGATAAAATACAGAGTATTTACATCAGGATCTCCAGAATCTAATTGCCAGCTTTTCAGCATTATTTCATAATATTCCAGCCATTCTCACACTACCCTTTCAACTTCCATGCACTTTTTAAAAAATATTTTTATTTAAAGTTTGGAATTTCAAATTCTATCTCTCCCTAAACCCTCTCTGAGATGTAGGTTATATATGTGCAGTCATGTAAAACATTTCCATGTTAGTCACTCTGTATAAGAAGACTTGAATAAAAGAAAAAAAGTGAAAGAAAGTGAAAACTAGCATACGTCAGTCTGTATTCAATCAATATCAGTTCTTCCTCTGGAAGCAGATAGTATGTTTCATAATTAGTCCTTTGGGATTGTCTTGGATCATCGTATTGCTGAGAATATCTAAGTCTTTACAGACTTACAGAACAACTTTCACAGTTCTTCATCGAGCAGTATTACTCTATGTACAACGTTCTCCTGGTTCTGTTCACTTCACTATGCCCCAGGGTCACACATCTGATGACTGGAAGGCTGATGGTGCTGTCATCAGTAGTGGGAACATCAGAAGAAGGAGGGTTTTGTGGATAAAGATAATGACTTCTGCTTTGTAGAGTTTAGGATGCCTTCAGCATATCCAGTTGCAAATGTAAATGAGGCAATTGGTGACATGGGACCAGAGCACAAGACAGAGACTGGGGCTGGGTATACTGATTTGCTAGGATGATAATTGAACCCATAGGAGCCAATTGAGTCAGAGTGGGTTAGAGCAGCATTTGCTGATAAATGTTTGACAACTGACTCTCCAAAAGAAAAAAAACATACTTTTATATTCATTATGAATATTTCTTCATCACTTTTTTGACAATCAGTAAATCAAATCCTGAGTTATAACATTTGCTGATTTCCGAGGTGCAAATGCTCACTGAAAATTTAATAATTGGATTCACAACTAATAAGCTGGCTGCAGCACAACCCTGATTTAGAAATAGGAAGGGAAACAACCTGGAAGTCTTAGGATATACCTACAGTTAGGGAGCTAAACACAGTTAAAGGAGAGAGCAGAATCAAGAAAAATGAGAAAGAAAGTGGCCGTCTTGATGTCAAATGCTGCAGAGAGTAAAGAAGGATGCAGAATGAGAAACAGCCAAAGGTTTTGATAATTAAGAATTCATTGCTAACTTTGGATAAAACAATTTTAGTTGAATGATGTGATAGGAAGAGAGAATGCGCAAACGGTTGAGATGTGAGAGAAAAGGAAGTGTAGAGGTGACCAGTATAAACACCTTTTCCTGAATGTTTGACTCTGAAAGAGAGGAGGATGAGGGGAAGTCTGGACTATTCCAGTTATTTCTGTACATGTCTTCTTTCCCTACTAGATTGCAACCACTTTGAACACAGGAACTGTATGTGTGTATGTAGTATATATGTATACATATTTATGTATTATGTGCACATGTATGTTACATACACATGTATACATTGTGTGGCATGCATACATGTATGTGCATATATGACATACAGTACCTTTACCTGACTTCCATTCTTTTGTCTCTTCCCCTCTCTCTCGCCCTACCTAGCTTTTCAACAAAACGAGCCTAAGATCAAGAATCACCTTGACAGGAGTATGTATACAAGGCCTGAAAATAAGAAGCAGCAATTACAGCAGCCGCTTCATCCTTCTTGGGAAGCAAGCCGGAAACGAAAAGAACAGATGTCTAAAATTGCAGTATTTCAAGGGAAAAAAATTACATTTGATGATGACTAGTGGTTTTCTTTTTTTTTTTCTTTTGGTGAATTTTTACATTAGTTAAAAAGATTCCCCTATTTGTATGATCTATTTTAGATAATTTTTACTTTTTATTTTTGTCTCTTTTTTGTCTGAATACTTTTAGGAAGCAAGAGGTTTTTTTTTCCTATTTTAATTCCAGTAACTTTATAAGTGAGTTTCTGTACATATATATGGTGTACATCTGTTAATTAAATTGCATTTTAAAATAATTATTACTATAATAATGCCTGTAAGAAAATAAAATATCATGTTCTTGAAAAGTCTTCATTACCTAACATTTTGCCATTTCATATTTAAAAATATTTTTGCATTGTACTTTTTATCTCAGATTATACTAGTTTTAGTCATCATAAAACAGTTTTTAAAAGTTAATCCTGTTATCAAAACTAAAAATATCAAAGTTGTCATATCCATGTAATTAATGTTAACATATTATACTTTGAGGAAGTTAAAAATGCAATCCATATTTTTTATTTCTTTTGGTTTTTCTGTGGTGTTCAGGATTGCACTCCAAACACTTTAGATAAACATTTGAATCCAAACCAAAAAAAAATGTTTCCTTTAATTTTTAAACTCATCAACAGTAAGTTTCTTTTAATTCAGAAATCCATTGCATATAACTAATGGGCCATATCCTCTTAGAAAAACATTCACTGAGGTACAATATAATAGGAGGTAAATTTCAGAATAGATTAAAATTAGATAATTGCTTCCGCTTTCAAGTTGGCCAGGGACAGACTACTGAGATTACTCGCTAAGAAAGGTACTACTACTGAAAATGCTACAAGTTTTATTTTTTAATAGGAAACCCCCACCCCCAAAAAATGCCTTAAGGATTTTTTTTCTCCTCTCAGCTGGGAGAAATTAAAGGTTCTTGGTTAACTGAATAACAAGCATGATCAATTCCATATGTATTAAGAGTTTACAGTGCACTTATGGCAAGAAAAGCCATCTGGTGAGCAGGAAATTCATGAGCTCTGAAAAGTTATTTCTACCTTTCCTTATGAACTTAATGACTTAAATATTTAACTAAGGACATAGGGACTACAGAAATGTTCCAGAAAATGGAAGCTCTAACGAGCTACATTTGTAGATTTGTTACACTGAGAGGCCAAAACAGGAGGTTGGAAAGACCATCAATGGCAGAGAACAAAAATGCAGAATACTTACTAGCTTGTGTTATCCTGTCTCTTCCTCCCTTTGGCCACCATTCCCAAATCCCCTCTACTTCACCTCTCACTTTCTCACCAAAAGGTCACTTTTATGGACGAGTTTTAAGTGTTTGGGCTAAGACGAACTATTAGTTTGGAGTTTAGAATGCATGGGATTTTGGGTTAAGGGGCATGTGCTGTTCTCCAAAGTATGGTATTGTTTAACAAAGATTCTATTCAGTTAAGTCTTCAGTTGCACTCCCGTTTGTTTTGGTCTGTACCATTACTACTCCCTTCTGTTAGTTAATGTGCCTGAATTAAATATCTTGGATAGCACAGACCTGGGAGACAGTTATTTACAGTCATTTCTCACATCTACAAGTATTATTCACAATTACAAGTGTCTAGTGCCAAATTTGTACAGACCTGTAGTGGATTTAGATTTCAGTGGATTTTAATCATATTTCTTGTGTCCAGTCTGTTCTCCAGTACATTGAATGAAACAGTGGACCTGCCTCCTTGAGTGGGCCTATATGAGGGTAGTTGTAAAAGTTCTGAAAAATTCAGAGCATATTTAGGACCATAATATCAAAGCATTGTGCAGTCCCTACCCTGTGACCATACATGGTAATACTCTTTACTTTTTGGAACATGTGTTTCTCTTCTAGGAAAACTTGTTTTGAGAAAAAGCCATCCTTCTGTGTGTTATATTCAGTACAAAATAATTTTGTTTTGTTGTTTTTCAACAAAGATCGACAAAACTCTGTACATGGAGAAGAGCTGTTTGTTATTCCCAAACTCAACAATACCCCTCCCCAAAATATTTAGTTTTTCCAATTTTAACAAATAAAGGGGAATAGTTTAGTCTGTCTTTCAATAGCTATCATCAGTTCCATGAGTTGAAAGTATCATTTGTGTTTTGTGCTAAGAAGGGTGAAACTCTTTAGTACTTTTTGATTTGCATTTTAATGACTTGAGTTTGTATTCTTTAAGAGCATTCCTTCACATGTCAGTGTTTATCAAGTATAGAAAACTTTCTAGCAATTCAAAACATTGAAAAGCTTACAGTTGAGTGTGTATGCAAAAAATAACGATCCTGTTAAAAAAGTGTCCTTTTAATTCTTCCTTTATATTGTGGTGGGATTTTTTAAACATGTATTAAATTAATTTTACATGCTTTTGCATTTTTTTAAATTAATGCATTGAGAGGCATTAGCAAAATCACAGTTCCCTTGAAACTGTGGCTATGTGAATATATGTTTGCATAGAACATGTAATTCATATAATGTGTATGTTATGTGTGACACTAAATATATTAATTTTTTAATAGGTAGAGTAGAGTAGATAGAGAGTTAGCACTGGAGTCAGGAAGACCTGGATTCAAGCCCTGCATCTGACACATACTGCGACCCTAGATAAATTTATTTAAGTTCTCCTTGCCCTAGGCAACTCTCCAAGACTATGAGTTTCAGAGAAGGTTCTGACCTGTATTAATAGAGGAAGTTTCCTAGGCTTATGAAATCACTGAGCCATTCTCCTTCCTCATATTTCCACATAGAATACAGTGTGCAGCAATCACATAACATCTGTATATTCCACATGCAAATATCCTGGTTGAGTTCTTGACTCAAAACAAAATTCATCAATGACATACATAACAACTATAGTTATTTCCCACCCTATCTGTCCCCTTCTGCCTCCTTACCTTTCAGGGCAGTGGAGCTAGTAAGGGAAGAGAAAAGGAAATAGTGATATTAATAGAATAATAGAGCTAAAAAGGAAGCCATCTGGTCCAGTTCCCTCATTTTACAGATGAGAAAATTGACCTCTCCTAACTTCCCAGGTTAAGTGAATTGTCCAAGCCCATGTGGGTAACAGGCATAGTCTAAACTTAGTCCCAGGTTGTCTGACCTCATATCCAGTATTCTATTTAGCCCACCATGTTGAGTTCTATTTTGTAATAAAACAGAGCTATGCACTCAGTGTTTGCCTGGAATTTTTTTAGTCTAAGCTTCTGATACAAAAATTCCACCACTGATTCAGGGCAGCAACTCTTCTATTAATTTTTAATCATAGACAGTTGCGTAGCTTACTGAGAGGCTGAATAACCATGTTCATATAGTGAGTACAAGTCAATCGGTCATACATATATATATATATATATATATATATACATACGTACATATATACACACACATATATGTGTAGATGTATTGCACACATGTTCATATGTATATGGATATATATGCCTAGTTATTTTCCAGCTTGTCTCGCCCATTAAAATGTTAATTCCTTGAAGGCAGAGACAGTTTTTGTTTTATATCACAGGCCTGAGCACCACATCTAACATATAGTAAGTACTTAAAAATGATTTTTTTAACTGTCATTTTAGATTTTGTACATGCAATGTCAACTGTTAACAAGAAGATATTTAATATACAGACAAAAATCTCAAGCATACTTTGAGAAGTTAATGTTTTGAATGCTTAGTTTCTTTTGTATCTCAGGGTTCCTAACTGAAAACAAAAGTTTTCACCCACCTCGAGATCATTTGAAAAAAAAATATTCTATGAATTCAAAGTGTCCTGTAAATTGTTTTAATTTTCACATATCTACTTGATTTCTCTTTAGTTAAATTATCTATCCAAGATTTTATTTAACTTAGAACATAGCCATGTAATGGCAAGGTTTTTACCATAAAATACTGCAGTTATACTAAAAATAACTCTGAAACAATCCATTTAATCCCATCTTCATTAGTCATTGTACAAGGTACTAATCTACTGAAAGTAGATGATTAAAATGAAAATAAGCCACAAAACTAAAAATCTCTTAATAGAGTATTTGGTATTTGAGTGTTTACTAGTGAGTTCACTTTGTCAATGAAAAAGTAAAATACAATGAAACTTGAGTTACCACTTTAGCTTCTGAAATTACATTTGCTACAAATAGTTAAATAGAACTTTTAAAAAAACTATCCTGTAAAGGACAAAAATTGCATTATTGCCTTCATATCAGTTTGAAAGGTGAAAATCCTGTACTGGTTATGTTTACCGTCTGTATTGTCATTAACATTCTATGATCTTAAACTTTGTTTTTATGCTTTGCTTTGTAATTCCTAGAGAGCAGTCTCCTTTACTCTTGCCCCAAATTCTTAAAGCAGGCATATATCACTTCCCCCAAGTTTCTCTCTTGTCCCTCCCCTTTAGAGATTCCTTCTAAGGCAATCTCAGAATGAAAATATGATGTCATCAATCTAGAGACTTTAATAAGCACACTTGCCCAGCCATGAAATGTTTGGTAGACTCTTCTTTTGAAAATTTAATTTTAATTTTTTTTATTCTAAACTTAAAACACCAAAAAGCATTTCCATATACACAGCAAAATACAAGATTCCTCTAGAAAATTGAAATCTCCAGTTCATGCTACCTGCTTTTGTAAAGTATATAATTTCTAGACATAACTTTCAAGACTATCCTGCTTATCTTCTTCCTTCTGGACTTCCTTCTGTTTTCTGTGCATTTTTAAAGACATTTCAATAGACCTCTTTTTCTTGGTGTCACTATTGCTACCCCTTTCTCCCTCCCCCCATTAGAAATCAAAAAAGAAAAGAAAAAAATATCTTGTAGCAAGTTAGCATAATCAAGCCAAATGAATCAGTGCTGAGGGAACGTCTGTAAATATATGTCTCTTAACCTTGTGTCCATCGCCTTTCTGTCAGGAGCTGGATATCATGCTTTGCTATAAACTCTCCAAAGACCTGGATGGTCACTGCATTCATCAAGTTATTGTCTTTTTTTTCTTTCTTAAGTTGTTTTTCTTTACAGTATTGCTCTCTATGTATTATTGTTTTCCTGGTCCAGTTTACTTAACTGCATCAGTTCATACTACCCAGGATTCTCTGAAATAGTTTATTCCATTTTATTTTGGTGTAATTATATTCCATTATATTCATATCTCACTGTTTGTTCACACATTCCTCAATGGTCTAGATGCAAGCTAAAGAACCCCTGTTGTATTATAATTCTTTATTTTGTTTTCTCCTTTTATTCCTTCCTTCAGTATAGGAAATTTGTTTTACTTATGGCTATTCCCTGCCTGATATTATTTTCCCTCTTAACCGCTTCCCCAGCCTCTATCTCAGCTTTTTTCTTTGGCAAGACGGATATATTTCTACACCAAACTCTGTGTGTGTGGGGGGGGTATTCATATTGAAACTTCCTTTGTCCATTACTGATAGGTGAGGTCCAGTGAGGTCCATTGTCCACTCCCAGTCCTATTTGATGGTATCCTCTACTCACATATCCCAATTATGAAATAACAAGTTATACCCACTTCTTCCTCTTTTATACTATACTATTGTATATATACTATACTAGTATATGCTATATTAGTGTAGTCCTTTTAACCTTCCCTTCTCTTTCCATTCTTCAAGACCTCAAAATAGAATTGGTCCACCCCTGGGACTTCTGTTTTTTGTTATTTAATTCCCTCAATACCCTTTGAAGACATTAAGGGACACCTTTTTTCTCCTTCTAATAGAATGCTAACCCTACATTATCATCATCTGTCTTCCACTTGCCCAAATGTATTTCATTTTTCTGTGTTTCTCTTGACTCTTATGCTTGTATTTTAAAGTTCTACTCAGCTCTGGTTTTTTTCATCAAAAATATTTGAAAGTTCTCTAAAGGTCCACTTTTTTTTGCCATGTAGGATTATACTTAGATTAAATTATTCTTGGTTGTAAGACTATATCTTTTGCCTTTTGTAATACTGCATTCTAAGATCTACTTTTGTTTACTGTAGAAGCTGCCAGGTCTGTGGTCCATTGGTACTTGAACTGCTTTTTCTAGGTGTTGTCAGTATCTTTTTTCCTTTGTCTTGTGAACTTGATTTTGGCTGGTATTCCTAGGATTTTCCTTTAGGAGGTGGTCAGTGAATTCTTTCTATGTTCATTTTGTCCTCTGGTTCAAATAGATCTGATCAATTTTCATTTATTTTTCTTTGAAATATAGTATCTGTGCTTTTAATTTTTTGGTCATGCTTTTCAGGGAGTTCAGCGATTCTTATCTGTCCTTGACTTGTTTTATAGGTGAGGGTTTTTTTATATGTTATCTTCTATTTTTTCACTTTTTTTATTTTCTTCTAATATTTCTTGCTGTCTCATGGACTGATTGATTTCTGTTTTGTCTATTCTAGTTTTCAGAGAGTCTGTTATTTGATTGAGGTTCATTGTTTTCTGTTCCAAGCTATTCTTCCAATCCTTTCTTCCACAGCTTTTATTTTTTTAATCTCCTGCATCATTTCTTCTATATATTCATATATTTATGGAAAGTCTTTTTGCCCCCTTTGGGTTTTTGCTTCAAGTGTTATGAGTTTATTTGTTCCTTTTTGGAGATCTCTAGATCTATGATAATTTTTGATGCTTGTCACTGTTTTGCTAATTTTTCAATTTGCCTCTCTCTCTAGCTTTGTTTTAGTTCCTGAATGGTTTTAGGGCCACCTGCTTCACTTTTGAGTGGGGTGGTTGGCCCCTCTTGTTCTCACCCTGTGTCACCTGGTTTCTTATGCCAACCTCTGTCTCCTGGGATTAGACCTCTCATCTCCAGCTCCGAAGATAATTCAGGTTCAGAATTCTGGATCTGTAGGGCCATTTCTGATATCTAAGTACAGTATTAAGAATTTAGAGCCACTGCACTGGTCACTGCTGGCTGCCCACTGCCAACTTCTACTTCCAGAGTCACCACTCTAGGGCTTTGGGGGATGGAGGCATGGGGTGACTCCACTCTTGCTACCTCTAGAAATGTAGCCTTATAATGGACACCTTATAATGGGCTATGTGTATCTGATTATACTGGGAGGCTACCCTCTCCTGGTGTTGGCACAGGCCTTGCTGGCAACCCCATTTCCTATTGCCCTTGGGCTTCTGGCTGGGGTAGAAGTCATTTATTGTAGTTTCTCATTAGATTTTTTAAAAACGTATTTATTTTTAGCATTCTTTTTCTTTTTAGTTCCAAATTCCCACCCACTCCCAACCCCTTGAGAAGGCTAGCAATATATCAGTTATACATGTGAAATCATGCAAAACATTTCCATATTAGCCATCTCATTGGATTCCTTGACAATTAGTCAATCTGTTGTGAACTTCATGGTTTTGCTACAGTAGGTATGCAAAAGTTGGGTAGTCTACCTCCCATTTAGACACCTATCTTGGCTGGAAGATCTAAGTAAATAAAAGCTTTCTTTAAAAGAAAAAGATCACAAGACAGAATCAGTGAAGCAAAAAAAAAACCAACCCAAAGAATTTACAGAAAGTTTGGCAAGAGATATGAAGAGCCTCCTTTCCAGAAGTCATGATTTCATAATGCTTGATTGCATGCCATGATTCCACCAGACTAACTCATTGAGGAGGCAGCCCTGAACATCCTGTTCAATGTGGCTATGCAGTGGTATCTGATGTAGGAATGTCTGAGAGAGGAGTGGTTTTTTGTTTATTGTTTAAAAGAAAGAAAGTAGTAGAGGGTAAGAAAAGGTTGTTGCTTGGAGAATCTTTTCAGAGCACTCAGCCTTTCAGGAGAAGGAGCAGAAAAAATGATACCTGATCTCACTTCCCTCTCCTGTCTTTCCTGGCTTCCTTCAGATCCCAACTAAAATCCCACCTTTTACAAAAAGCCTTTCCCAATACCTCTTTTTAAAAAGATATCTATTAATGTTTTCTGCTTCTTACATCACCATTGTATCCTTCCCCTTCCCTGAGAGCCATCCCATGTGACAAGTAGTATTTTTTTAAGAGGAAAGAAAAAAGTCAACACAAATGATTAATAGAAGAAAGAAGAAAGTCAGCACAAATGATTGACACATTAAGAAAAGCTGAAAACATATGCAATGCACCTGTAGACCTCACACCTACATGAAGGGGTAGGTTGGAGGTATCTTCTCATATCTCCTCATTCAAGTCACACTTGATCTTTATAATTTTGTTACATTTACTTTTAGTTTGTTTTTGTTTTGTTTTTTATTATGGTGTTCTTTCTCTTTACGTTGTAGTTGCTGTGTATATTGTTTTCTTGACTCTGGTTATGTCACTCTGCATCAGTTCATATAGATCTTTCTGTGCTTCCATGCTTTCCATGCTTCTCTATTCATCATACACATAATTTTTATAGCATGAGAGTATTCCATTTCATGTACCACAATTTGTTTAGCCATTCCCCAGGTGATGGACATTCATGTTGTTTCTAGTTTTTAACTATCACAAAAAGTGCTTCTATAAATATTTCAGAGTATTTGGGGGCTTTTTTTTTTAATCCATGACTTGTTTGGCATATAATCCCAGTAATGGAGTCTCTCGTTCAAAGTGTATGAACATATTAGTCATTTTTGCCAACTTGCAAGGTATAAAGTAAAACCTCAGAGTTGTTTTGATTTGTATTTATCTTAGTGATTTGGAGCATTTTTTCATGTGGCTTGAATATTTTGCACCAGCAGTTCAGAACCTGCTTTCTTTGGCACTGGCAATTCAGAGCTTTGCAGCATTGGTGCTTCCAGGTTGCAACCCCCAGCAGGCTTTTGTTTTTGAAGGCCAAATTGGCTTTTGAGGCCTGAGGAAATTTCCATAGTCTGGGGCAAGGGTCTCTGTGGCTGGAAGAAAGGGGAACTGGAGTATAGGGATGAGTTTTGATGTAGGCCTGTGTCATGTCCCTGGGTCTGCTAGTGAAATCTTACTGCCAATAGCATGGGAAGTAGAATGAAGAGAAAGCACAGGGTCAGTGAGTGTTAGTTCCTGGTTTGGGGTTTGTTTGTTTGTTTGTTTTTTAAATCTTTTGTATTCTAGGTGTCTTAGGCCTTGGAAATAGCTGAAGTTGCTTTATCTTTCACACATAAGTTCTATTTGGGGGAGGTTTGAGAGGTTGTAGGGATCAGAGACAATGTCTGCCAACTTGTTGCTCATATGACTCAGAAGCCTCTAATCCCTCTTAAATCTAGGGACTTCTCTGTTGATCGTTTACTTTTTACCTTTTATATATCTTGTTTGTATATAGTTATCATGTTTTGTCCCCATTAGACTGTGAGCTCCTCATGGGCAGAAACTGGTTTATTTTTGTTTTTTAATTCCGAGCACTTAGCATAGTGCCTGGCACATAGTAGGTCCTTAATGTTTATTGATTGACAGGATCATATGATTCCCTTTAAGTAAAGAGAAGGCTATACCCTACTGAGCTCTCACCTAACTCAAATGGTCCTCAGTCTGTCTTTGTCTGGAAAAATGGTATTCTCCCATATCAGGCAAGACGTTTTTCCCCTGCTAATCATACACCTGACTGCCCAGGTTTCCTTCCTCCCATTAACCATGGCTGTATCAAGTCAGTGCCACCCTAGAAAGGTCTTTCTATTCCAATGTTTTCTGGGATCCAGTCTCCAGGAATACTTAATTGATAAAATCAGCTGTTATGTATTCCCCAGAACAAAGTCACTTGATCCTCAAAGTTGTTGTCCCTTTAAAGGGCTCTGGTGAAATAGTTCAACTTCCTCTCAACTGGTAGGATTCTTTTAGACTGGGTTGGTTCAGACGTTTCAGGGATCAGCAGCCCAAGAGATGGCATTATTGGATGGCACCTGTTGAGGGAAATAAAATCATCATGTTGGTAAATTTATATTTACTTGGTTTGACTGTTATTTCTGAGTCCCTGGATCAGGTTGAGGAAAAGTCTTTTTTAGCCCCTGTCGAACAAAGGGGCAACTCCACCCAAGTTTCTAAGGGGGCAAAGATTTCATATAATTTCCCTGATATGGTTCTCAGGGAGGGAGAGTTTTTGGTGTGTGAGCTAGGCAATACTGAGTTGATAACAGTATTGGGAGAGCCATGGTATCCATTTAGATCCTCAGGACAAGTTGCATGCAAGGCTTATTAGCTTCTTGGCCATTTAACTACAGATGACCTTGATATATGATGAAGAATTGTTAATTGTGCCAGAAGTATCATCATCTGTACTGTGAGCCTGGTGTTTCCCAGGTATTACTGCTGCTCATTATTCACTGCCTTGTATCAGGACAAGGCATTATTATTTGTGTTGTGTCCCTGATATTCCTGAGGCTGCTTCAGATCATTAGTTCATCTCCAGCTTGCATTAAGAGACCTATTATAAACTGTAAAGATGTGGCAGCACCTACTGCACGAGCCAGGTTGTTGAGATCTAAGATTTAGCCCTTCCTATGGGGGAGAAAAAGCCTTGGCTTTCTGGATTGTGGCCTCATCTTTTTTCTTCTTTCCTTTTCTTTTTTCTTTATAGTGATTCTTCAAGGTAAATGGAGCTGCATTTCTTTTTGTTTTCCCCTTAATACTGCTGATTGTCAGTAAATGCTCTGAAAGCCTTTAAATAGTGAAAAGTCCCTCAGAAAATCATTAGGACATCTCCACCATGGGATGATATGTGATAGAACCAAGGCTGTTTTCCCTAAAAAGCAACAAAACTGTTCCCAGGATCACATTGGCCTTTGTCTCCCTTGAGTACTATCCCTATCAGGAACACCAAAAAGTCAACATAATACAAGAAAAAATTAAAAAAAATATATATATATATATATATATGTATGTATGTATATATATGTATGTATTATATATATATGTATGTATGTATGTATATATAAAATAGGAAATAATCCTTTTGATAAGAAAGACAAATATTCAAATAATTTATACCCTATTTTTATAAAGAAATAATGTGATGTTATGAGCCTTTAAACAAAGGCTAGGTGACCACTTGTTAGGTATGTTGTACAGAGGATATTTGTTCAGGCATGTATTGGAGCAAATGGCTTCTGGGGTTCCTTCTAACTCTGAGATTCTGTGATTCTGGTGTATTTGCTCTAAAATCTAATAAAAAATTCAAATATAGTAGAAGTGTGTTTGGTTCCATGCTACGCTCTCTGGCCAAAGGAACATCTGCTTTCTTAGAAGATGGTCTAGATTTAGCCTGGCATGATGGAGCATGTCTGTAATCCCAGCTACTAGTAAGGAAGATGGTGGCAGATATCAAGACCTGGGGAGTTTGGAGCTGCATTGGGCTATGTAGATCAAATCTTCTCACTAATTTCTACATCAGTAGGATAAGCACCTAGGAGCAGAGAGGCCACTAGGTTGCCTAAGAAGGAGTAAACTTTTGCAGGTCGGAAATGGCTTAGGCCAAAGCTCCTATAGTGTAAGTAGTAGCCTGGATCTGCCTGTGAATAGCCCCTGGACTTCCAGTCTGGGCCAGATAGGGAAACCCAGTATTTAAAATGTAAAGAAGATGGTTTAGGAAAAAAGAACAAATGAGAACCCAATCAGGTAAAATAACAGTTACTTTCAAATGTTTATCTGTCCACAATTGAACTTTTTATCATTTTAAAGTCACATAGGGAAACAGTTTAATTCAGTTTGAAATTCATACTCTATTCATAAGTAAAATATTTGGACAACCCAAACACTTGAAACTGTTTATTCAAGTCATTTTGTATAAACTTTGCAATCATAATACAGACATACAAGAAAAGAATATGAAAGTGCACTGAAGAATATGCTGCATCAGAATATTTTAAATAAGCCTTCAAATAAAATTATAAAGATTTTAAAGACAATTCTAAAGAAAGAGGGGGATACTAAAACCTTGTAACATTGTAAAGGGACTTTTCACTGAGTGTTGCAGTTAAACATTAAATGCTCATTTCCCATTAACATGGAATCATATGGTTTACATTCAAGTTGAAATAATTCAGCACCATTTAAAACCTGAAGCACCATCTCTGGACATGTCTTAATTGCAAGTTGTAGCATAGAACAAGTCAGACCAATTTTGGAGGCTTTTGATTGAAACTTACTTTTTTGATTAGATAGATACAATTCTTCATAAAAAAAGAAAAAGTTTGACAGAAAGAAATTGAAAGTAAATTACATGCCAGCTGACATACACAATAAACTTTGGTACAAAATAAAAATGAAGCTGTTTTTTACTCCATATGTATTTGGTTTTGTCAGAGCCTTATTTTATATTTGTCAAATAACATCCAGCAACAATAATGAAAGGAGGTGTACCCTTTAAAGATTAGTGACATATGGTTAATCTCTTAGCTTCACACAGTTGTTTTCAATAGGTTGCATTTCTTTTAAAATCTGAAATTTGGAAAAACTTTAGAATAACTCTCAAATAAGTTTCCAAGGGAATTTTTTTAATGTATTTGAGACCATAGTCCTTTTAGTTTCACTTTTTGAAAACAATGGCTAGTAAAATGATCACATAATATATATTTTAATAAAACTCTTAATCAAAAATATAAAGACTTTTCTAAAAATATGTAAATCTTATCTTTGATGCATTACCTTAAAATAAAACATGTGACGGTAATGTTAGGGGAGTCTGGATCTTATTCACCAGTAAAGAAATTTTTAGTTCAGTTGTAAGATACATGAATTATCAGACCATCTGAAAGAACATATGGTATGGGAAACTAGATGATTTGTAAAAATGGTCAGTTTAAAAGCCTATTTTTCCCATGACCCTTTATAGTTGAAGCTAGACTTTTCAGAGTTCCTTTATTTTTGTGTCAACTTTGCCTTCTATTCATCTTTCAATTCATTTAGATCTTTATTGATTAATGTCTGTTACCAATGTTCAATGTTGGTTTTATTTGATGTTTGGTGATCACTCCTGGAAATTATTTCTTCAGGGCTCAAAAATGAAATTGTAGGGGAAAGAGATGATATAGAATAAACAAACATTTGGGGCTCCCTTAAACAAGGTAAATGGAGTTTTGTTTAAAAAATCAAAATATTCAGTATTAAAAATGCAGCCATTTCTGAGATGTAGGAAACTTACAAATATTACTAGCACGTGCTTGCATGACTTTTAAATGAACTTCATAACACAAACAGTTCCTCATCTGGAAAATAAAACTTTGGGAACAGTTGCCCAATAAGGTCCCTTTCAGCTCTTTGATTCTCTGAAAGGTGGTAATAAACACAAATGGTAGGAACATATTAACTTGGTCATTTCAGCCTGTATCATTGCTACATATTGTGATAAATTTTTCACATACAGTGAATGTAGTGGGACATGAGGACATCGTCAATGGAACATTTATGATTTTTATGTATCCAAAAACCAATCAAGGTTTTTAAAGAACAAGTGTGTGAAGCAGAGGTGTATGGAGAAAAGGCCTAGATTTGAATTTATGTTCAAATCTTGACTTTCGGCAAATCACTCAACCTCTTTGAGTCCCAATTTCCTTATCTGTAAAATTATGTTTTAGTTATGGTTTTTATGGATGAAAATGGATCTATGATCTCATTGACATTGACTACATTCTCACAGATTCTTTTCAGCTCTAAATCATATGTTTTTAATAAAAAGATATGTATCTTTAAATGCCAGTCTGGCTCAGTAATAATACTGACAGTAGTTCAAAAATGAGTGTTTTAAGATCATTTGTACTTGAAAAGATCATAATTAAAGAAATAATTCCATAGCCCAGATACAAATTCTTCAAAAGCTTTCTGACTATTTCAGTGTCACAGTATACTACTAAACATTGGTAAATATTGCATTTGGAGGGTATGATATATACTGTAAACTATGTATTTACCTATGATCGGACCTTTTATAGGGCCATATACACAGGTGCTTAGTAATTATCAATGATTGTACCTTTTTGTTTTATAAATCATGGAGATGTAAATCCACTTTTCTATGTGATGTTTTGTGGAAGTATTCAAAAGCATATCATAATTTAGATTTGTTTGATATTATTTAATTTATGATAATTTGTACTTAAGCACCACTAACTTTAAAATAGTTTTATTTCAAGTGTAGACAACTCATACTGCATCTTCTGCTTTTCAGGAAAAACAGAAGCTATCCAAATTCTGTTGTGGTAAATTATTTCACAGTTTAAAAGTAATATCACAGCTGTCTTATTATACAGTACAGCCTGTTGCTTTACAGAAAATATCGTGTTTCCTTTGTCCCCTTTCTTATGCTAATAATTAAAGCCATGTACTAATTTGAGCTAAACTTTTCAGAAAAAAATATTAATGATTAGTTCCTTACTGGCCTAATTTGATTGCTTATTATATGGACATAGTAAGTCATATATCCTGTATGATACTTAAAATATTTTAATTATAGTTTTGTATACTAAAGTGGATCTGTGATCTTATTGATATGAATAATCTCTTCAACAATAAAATATCCTAATGATTCTCATGTAAAAAATATCAAGTATGAGAGGTAAAAAAATATATTGGGAACAACAACGGTATTTTCCATTCATTTAAAAAAGATGTTCGATATGCAGTAATACTTGGACTACCTACTTTTTTCTTGTGACCTAAAGAGACGGTAAGTGTTGGTAATACTTTATCTAAATTAGTTTGAAAATTACCCATGCTATAAGAATTGTATTTTACTTGGATGGTAGCCTATTCATACCATCTCCTGACTTGTCTTTTTAAGAATGTAATTTTGAATATCTCTAGCCATAGACAAGGTCAAAGAGATGGACAAGGCATCATAAAAATATTAGACTTGGATCGTGTGATTAAGTTCCTTAATTCATTTGAAAACTAGACCTGATTTTTGTCAGAATTGAGCTATGTATTTGGAAGAAAGAAAAGGATTTATCTACTAATGTTAAAAATGTAAACATAAATTTTATATAGGAATGTAGCTATCTTAATACATACATTGACATTTCTCTGCTATATATTAATATTTCTTGAAATCAATAATGTGTATTCTTTCCTCAGCACCAATATTTCCATATTTATTTGTAGGAGTAATGATAGGATTAACATTTCCAAATTAGTTTTTGCTAGTGTTTACAAATTGGTCATTATTATATTTTGTAATTTAGCACATTAAAAATTTTTGAGCACAAAACAGTTTTAGCTCATTCACTAATAGTTCAATGAAACAAATATTTTGCTGGCTTGCACTCCCAATTCCCAGTACACCACAAGGTAAGTTTCTTTGAAATAGCAAATGATCTTAACTATGGAATTTGAAATGCTTTACAGAATTCACCACAACTATATCATCAATATAAAGGAAAATATTCCCATTCTCAAAATCCAGTTATGTTTTGTAATTAAATAGTCCAAATGATAATTCCTTTTGTGTTTTCTGTGCTCTTTCTCAAGCATTTACATCCTACTGAAGTTAATCTAGCTTGCTTTTCTCTTCTTTTTTTTTTTCAGTTCAAAACATCAGGCACTGGTTCATCCACTTTTTTATTTTACTTTTTTTTTTGTCTCTTAGTACCTAAGTAAAAAGAGAGAGGGGGAGAAAAGAAAAGTTGGTTTACGTGGTACATTCTGCAGAAATTCAACAATCATTAAAATTTTCCTATTCTGCTCTTCCTGACTTTAGGCACAAGATATGGAAGCAATTTCCTTCTCCCAAATAACAACTATATACTAAAGGTGCTTAGTAATTGATCACTAATGATTGATTGAGAAAAGTGGTTATGTCTGATAAGTGCACTTTCAACTTCTAAATGTTAAAACCTATGAAAAATGTATAAAACTGTATAAGTTGGAAAAGAGGTAGCCAGGTGGTACAGTGGATAGAGTACTGGGCCTGGAGTCAGGAACATTCCTCTTCCTATGTTTAAATCCAGCCTCAGACACTTACTAGCTGTATGACCCTAGGCAAGTCACTTAACCCTGTTTGTTCCAGTTTCCTCATCTGTAAAATGAGCTGGAGAAGGAAATGGCAAACCACAACAGTATCTTAGCCAAGAAAATCCCAGAAGGGGTCATGATGAGTCAGACATGACTGAAAAATGACTAAATTATTAAAAAGGAAAACTGGAGGTGTTGAGTAGACAAATTCACCCTGTAAGATGTAAAGAATCACGACTGTGCCAATAATTATGATCACACTCTATAAAAGACTGCAAAATATTACAATCACACTGGTAAATTAATTACTATTATAAATAGAATTTGAGGTGAAAGTCATGGTCATGGGTTGAATATGTGAAATAAGAATGTCATTGAATCCAAACTGTAAGATATAAATTTTCTAACACTAAATTTTATCCAGCAATGAAAAATTAACATTGAATAATAGAATTTTAGATCAAGAAGGTTTGTTGTGGTCCTCTGTTCCAATGACCTCATTTTAGTGATGAGAGGCAGTCTGGTGTCATGGATAGAAAGTTGACCTTAGGATCAGGGTGACCTCAATTCAAGGCCCACCACTGGTACATATGGCCGTATGAACGAAGAGGTTTTCTCTACCAATGAAATCACAGTACAGACCAAAAATAAATAATACTTTTCCCCTCTTTTAGTCTACATATACAGTATACTGAAGTTCTGGAAAATTATTTCAGATTAAAATATCATATTAGGATTTTATTTTTTTTCTAGACACAAATTACCAACCAACATGGCCTAATGGCCATACATACTGAGTAAATACTAAAAATATCCCTTAAATGTTAATTTCATTTATTAAATTTTGGAAATTGTTCTCTTAAAAAAGACACCCACAAAAGTTGCATCCAGGGATAAGAATTTAATATAGAATAATAGCATTTTAGATCAGAAAGGGACCTTAGTGATTTTTCTAGTCTGGTTCATGTCCTCATTTTATAGATGAGGAAATTGAGGTGCAAAACTTGCCCCTTCAACTTCTATAAAAGTTGAATTTTGCCTAAATGGAAAGTTCCATTCATGTATTACCACTAGCTGTGTGACCCTAAGCAAGTCACTTTAACCTCTGTTTCCCTTAGTTTCTTGATCTGTAAAATGGGGATAATAATAGCACCAGCCTTACAGAGCTGTTGTGAGAATCAAATGAGATAATAAATGTAAAGCACTTAGCATGGTGCCTGGCACATAGTAAACACTATATAAATGTTAGCTAGTAATAGGAGCAGGAGGAAGAGTAGATACTGCTACAGAAAAGCAAATCTAATATGTACAAGACATACTGTCACCCACATTTACAGAAATTAGGTCCAACTATTTCATTTAGCCACATTTATTATTTTCATTAAAGAAAACCTCAAGTTCATGTTGTTTTTTCTGGGTATCAACCAATAGAGTTAGCAGAATATACTTGAAGCTCGCCTTTTCAGAGCTATCCCAATTTCTGTAAAATGGTTCATCTGTTGCTATTGTTCCACTAAACCAAGTTAAAAATGGCATAAAATCTATGGACAGGAGTCTTTATTCTCTAGGATTCTCTCAGCTAGAAATTCTTATTACCCAACATTTAGACATTTTGCCAGTATATGTGACACACAGGCACTTGCAAGGCCAGGGAGTGTCTTCTTGGGTTATGTTTGTGTATTATATTTACATTATTTGGAAGATATAGCAAATGTGAGAGCCTTATATTTAATAAAACAAAAAAACACCTCACTCCATAATCATACCTGATAGCAGTTATTATATTTTATAACACCTGTGGTCATGGAATCCAATTATGTGAAATTTGGGTTCTAAGCAGAGAAATAAGAACTCTTTGCACACTCATCATTTTGCACAGCCACCCTTACTATCGGTGCAAAAACAGATGGGCCTTAATTATATAATAATCTTGATTTTGTAATATTTTCTATACTCAGTTTAAGTTTAGGGGGAGGGAGATACACTCATAGTAACTAAAACTATTAGTAATGTCATGATAGACCAGGAAATAACTGTATTTGTGAAGAAAATGAAAAAGACAAGAACTTACGGTGAAATTGTACAACCAGAGGCATATGCATGATGACCTGTGTATCGAATGTCACAGCGTACAATATTGTTTGAGTAATCAGACTCAGGCACCAAATAGCTGGGATTTACACTGACCTAACAGAAGCAAATAATATTTATTTATCAGATTGTCGTCATTACACACTAGCCAGCTGTTCTTTGTTTCCATGTAGGCTAAAACAAGAGGAAATCATCTTAAATTAAAGCTTAAGCAGCTTAAATTAGATGGGTTTGTTAAACTTTGAATGAATTACAAAGAAAGATGATACAAACAAGATGCATTCTCATCTGTCTGGGTTGATTTAGATGTACTCTCAAATGACTCCTCCTCTAAATCAAGTCAAGTCTTATGATGATTTAATATCTGACTCCATAGATGTTCACAGAGGCTTGCAATCTAAATACATTTTCAGATTTCACTACCTTCAGAATGTAGTTTCCAGGCTTTACATCTGTAATATCAATCCACTGACAATCTATATCTGCATTATAGGTATCATAGCACCCAGGGCTCAGTCCCTAAAAAAATGAGAATAAAATGTTATTAGAGTAGTCTAAGGGATATAATCATATGATACATAATATTGTAATAATAGAATTCTGGCAGCAAACTAAATCTTAGTAACTAAACACCAAACCAAGGTTAGGTTATTGTTCCAACGTGGGGAAAAACAAAAGTTCACACAACTTAGACCTCTGACACTTCCCACTTAAAAACAAAAGACTCAGATTGACAATATTTCTCATCTGGCTTCTCAGAGCTTCCTGAGTCAACTAAGAAAGTTATAATGTAACACAGTAAAAGCAAACTCACTTTGGAGGTTCTAAAGTGCAACTAATCACTAAAATAAAAGTGTTTAATGGGAAACCCCTCTCTGCAGGGTAGAATGTTCAAGAGAGTGACAATAGACCATGGCTAGAACATTTATCATATGATGACCTGAAGTGACCCTTAGCAGCAAGGGATGTAGGAATTCTATAATATACATTAAAGCACAGCTTCAAGCAGAGCTTCAGATTCGTGGCCAGCTTGTACGGGCATGAGAAATGAAGCAGTTTATTTTGAGTAATAGGACTCTACAGGGCATGGGACAGAGAGAGAACAACAAACAGCCCCAGGATCTACAGAACACACAATTAGATGTCACCTGAAAGGTATTTTGGAAATGTGCATGATGTAAAATGAATTCCAGGTCACCTTTTATTCATCTGTGCACAGAGATAATATTGGCAACAACACCTTTCAATGCAAAGGATATACAACAAAGACATACTAGTACATACATACCTGCTTATAGATATGCAGCTTATTCTTCTGGGGAACAAATGTTAATACAATACACGGATTTTAATATGTATTCTCTCTATTTGCTGTGATGTGAGTTTAGAAAAAGATATAACACAAATTTACATCCCTAAGAAGTTGCCTACTCTAGCACATAGATTTACTTTGCAAGATCCCAGCTGCTGATCAGCTTTGGACTGAATTATGTTGATTTACTTTTTTTCCTGCCAAAATTCAGGCTGGAGTGAAATTATATTGTCCACTTACAAATTGGGTCTCCTTATGGAAACACTGACACAGCTTTAACTATGGAAGCACACATTTTCCAACTATAAAACATATGTAAACTGCTTAATTCAGCACTATTTGAAAAAAAAGGCCCAGATCTCTGCATCTGACATCAATTATCTTTGAAATTTAAAATGTGTACACATGTATGCATGGGAGAGTAACTATACCCTGCTCTTCTTAGATGTATCATTGAAAAGGCAGACTTTTTGGAAAGAACCTTATAAGGAGCTTGCTTTCCCTTTTCCCCTTCAGTTACCATTTTCAATCACCATCATATTCTTGTAATAATGTGTTAGCAAGGTGAAGGGGAAAGGGGATTTTAAATAAGTGTGCAAAGTTTGGATAACATTTAAATAATTTAGCAAGTTGGCTGAACAATATAGAAAAAAGTGTCGCCACACCAATCCATGTTACCCACCTATTCAAGAAACTGTATTACAAGACTATATTGATTCTTACAGTCCTAATTATGATATGTGAAGTAGCTCCCATAAAGGATAAGGATTATATATACAAACATATACATACATACATACACACAGAGGAAATGGAAATGAATGAACTCGCTCTGTCTGTCTTTCTGTCTTTCTTTGTCTCTCTCCATAGTAATAATTGAAATGAATGAATAGACTTGCTTTTTACTACATATTTATACTATATATCATATATGTCCATATCATCTGCATTGATATGAAAAGCAAGTCCATTCATTTCCATTTTCCATGTATTTTTTTACTTTGACAAGAATTTATTATTATTATTAAATGAAGTAACTCAAAGAAGAAAAATTGCAAGAACAAAAACAGAGATGTCAGTAAGCTTGGGGTGTAGGAAGAAATGTCAACTTACTTGTGTGTGTGCTGTACAGGCATATCGTCTATAGTATCCATAATCACAGGAAGTATCCTCAAGGCAAAAACTTGCTTTATGGCCTTCAGCCACTCTGCTCTGGGTATTGGCATCAAGTAAGTCATAGTGGCTGAATTCATCCATACTGTGGAAATGTCTAGTAGTCCATTCAACAAAGGCATACTAGTTAATTAGAAACTGGATTATACATAAAACAATTCATTCATAGCAAGCTAATATCATAAGAATGTCTGTCTTCTATAAGACCTCGATCATTGGACCAAAATCTCCTTTCACATTAAAATTGTGATTATATGTTTTTAAAGATGAAAAAATACACTAGATTTATTTCTTCTTCCATGTATAAAGACAACCATTTGGGGAAATGAATGTTAATATTTTTACTTCTGGAAGGAGGCTTATGATTTTGGTTAATGTTGGTTTTCTATTACATTAAGTTTCTTCATAATAAACAAGTCCTCAATTATTCACTTTTAAGTAGAAGTAGCTGATACTTGACCTTAGGAATAGTTTCATAAATTTAGATCCAGAAGAGAGGTCATCTAATCCAACTTCCTCCTTTTCAGGTAAGGAAACTGAGGGCCAGAAAAATGAAGTGACTTTCCCAAAGTCACACAGGTGGTAAGCAGCACAGTTGTTTTTGAAACACAGGTCTTCTGATTCCAAAACCAGTACCTGTTCCATTATACTGTCTGGATGCTACTGTCTTTTCTTTCAAAGAGCACTGACTAATATTTCCTTTTGACAAGAATGTTGGTGACAGTTTAAAGTTTTGTTTTGTTTTGTTTTTAAACATAACACTTCTGTAGCCAAACTTACTAGTATCTGATTATCTACAGCAGAGGTTTTAATTCCTGAACTGACAGAAAAGAGGATGATATTAAGCCACCAGCTATCAACAGGCTAAGAGGGATCTCTTGCAAGTAATCTGTAAAGTGGAAATAAAGTTTTTATATTACCCTTTTTGCCAGCATTTAAATGAAGGGTGAGATAAGGACTTTACCCAATATTTTTCTTATTGCCATCATCACCATAAAAGTAAATACTTTCTCACATTACAGGAACAGAAATCAAGTTGACTTTTACAGATTAAAGGAGTAGTCATTTAAAATGGTAATCAGGTTCAAATAGGGATAGCTGGAAGGGAGAACAAAGAAAACATGCTCAGGAAAATAAAAATGAGGAATAAATGATTATTCACAATGGCATCCAAAAAAGACTGAGTATCCAAGCGGCCCACAAAGCACAATCTGGAATACTTGTTAAATGACTAGGTAACCTCAAGAAACTATAAGGCAATCTTCCCTTTAGGCTCAATACTTGGCTTCAGATGCATAACAGAGAGAAAATTTAGAGAGGCAGAAGATATGGCAATATCTTCAAGTTTAAGATTGGAAGGATGGCATGATTTGAGTTGGCAGTGGAGCAAACTATTGTTTTCTGTTTTCCTGGTAATACGTTTATGAAATTAAAGAGACTAAAAAATGTTTACAAGATATCTATGCATTTTTTGGTTCAGACTTATGATTTCATTAGTTCAGAGAACTCTCAATATGGAAACTCTACCAACTCTACCACTCTCAGCAACTGTTCTGCCACTTACAGTCTTAGCAAGTTGCCTGGGACCCTCTTGTGTCATATGACTTACACATGGTTAGTCAAACAGATAAAGATATATACATATGTGTGTGTGTTTGTACGCATACATGCATACACATACACACATGCATATATAAATAAATATATACAGATATGTATTGTGCATACATACGTGCATATCTATTTATCTGAGGAAAGATAAGTGTAAGACCAAAGTTTTCTGGAGTGCAAAGCCAGCTCTCTATCCACTATTCCATCTTGGCTACTTATGAGTATTTTATTGAATACTTGTACCTTTTAATTCATTAATAAGGAGAAGAAAGGGAAAATGTTTTATCTCCCATCAGCATTAAAATATAGCACAAAGTTTTATGACAGATGGCCAATGGCCATTTTTCTGTAGTCAGGGAAGAAGAAGAAGGAAGGGAATCTATTTTTGTGGAATAAATTTAGTATCTAACCTTTCCATTGAAAAATGGAACTTCATTGTAACTTCCCAAGTAATTAAGAAGCTTTTGAACCAGATATTAAGCAACTGCTTTCTCTTTCAAGTATGGAGAGAACACAAAAAAGGTTTTAAATTACTGAAAAATACTGGGTGAAGGTAATAGAATAATCGTTCCTAGAGAACTTTAAAAATATGATTGACTAGTATCTATTTAGGATAGTTTTGTTGCAGTCCTTTTAAAAAAGGACTAGACTAAGTAATCTGTCAAGATCTCTTCTAGTTCTTTGATTATCCAATTTGTATTGCCCTTTAAAGGATATTTAAAATTATCTTTTATAATACAACATTAAAACTCCAAAGTTAGTTTTGCAAGAATATCATACTTACAGTCTCTACTCCAATAGAAATATTCTTTCCTCTACAGGTATCATTTTGGAAACAGAACTCCTTTCTGGTGGACAGGACTTTTGTCCAGTTTCAAGCATTATCAAGCAATTTAAAGACTGTGATATTTAGGCAAGGCATATTGCCTCATTTTTCTTTTTTTCCAAATGGCTTGGGAAGAAGTAAATAATAACTACAATACGAAAGCATCATCTGTCACATTAGCATCTCCGTCATAACGTGTACCAAGTGAAAACTGAGAAAGAAAGATTTAAGATCCTATATAACGATCAGCACACTCACTGGTGACAGCTGTGCCACTCCCATGAATATCTTGGTCTGCTTGGTAAAAAATCTGATGTCCCTTGATTTTTCACTCGTTGGGGAAATCTTAGCAGCACTCGGTTATCATAATCTCTGACATCTGACCTGTATGCTGAACTGCAGTTGTGGGGAAAAAAAATAGTCATAATATAGTTATATTGACTTCCTGTTCACCCCTCTCCCTTCCCTTCTCATAGGGAAATAAATGTATGACACTTAAAAGCCAGATAGATAAAAGAACAACCATTACCTCAAAATTTTGTGTGTAATATACAGTCAATTAAAAAAAAATAAAATCAATGAATGAAGAAATTATCCCAAATCACAGGTAAAAGAGGAATCTATCAATATTTTTCAGGAAACTCCAGTCCACCAAGGCAGATCTAGATGGTAACACCTCTTTGATTTAGTAGATAAGTCTTAGGAAATTATCCAGGGCAAAGAAAAGGTCACACATCTGCTAAGAGTCAAAAGTCAGTATTAGAATCCCATTCTTTCTGATGCTAAGTCTGTCGCTAATACATGCTACTTCTCAGTATTGGATAAATAAATGCTTAATAAAGGCTCCCATTTATGTGACGTGTTATTGTTTATGAAACAATTATCTCAAGAACTCTACGAAATAGGTAGGGCAAGTATTATAATTATTGAGGTTCAGGTAAGTTCTTACCAGTGGTCACAAAACTAGCAAGTGCCACATCTAGGACTCAAATGCAGGTATTTAGATACTGGGTCTAAGTCTGTCATTAAAATAAGGTTCAAATCATATAGCTAGTTAATATAGTAAATGCTATTTAAATCTGTTCAGTCCATGAGAAAGCACTACAGTCACACAGTATTGTAAAAGACACTGCAGTACTGTCAGAGGCTCATCTCTTTTTCCTTTTCTTCCTTAGGTAGAAGCAAGAAGTACCAGCAGAAAGGCCAAAATCAGCCAAAGCAAAAGAATAAACAAACTTAAGAGGCATTGGGCCCAGCATCCCCAAACACTTATGACTACCATTAGTAAATAGAGAGGCAGTGTGAAGCAGTGAACAGAGAAATTTCCTCCATTCTGAAGGACTGGGCAGGTGGGGAACCTGTGGCCTAGGCCACAGGTTCCCCACCCCTGGACTAGGGTTTGAATGCAACCTCTGACATATACTGGCTGTGGGACCCTGGATAAGTCACAACCTCACAGTAGCTCTGGGTACTTTCCTGCTTAGAAGAGGAAGTTCTTCTCCAGGACCTTCTTTTATTTGTGTAATAAAATTACATGTCCAGTAAAAATAAGCATTATGGGGTATATAACATAACTAAAAGATTTAGTTTTTATGTGCAAATGTATTCTAAGTTTAACTTCATTTCTATCATTTTTTTTGAAATACAAATAGAATAGTTGCAGTATGCTGGTTGAAAAAGCACATTTTTAAGCCTCTTAAGGCTTGCCCTACTTTACAGAGTTATAACTCCAAATACATTTTTTGGGTTAGTCTTGGAGTATGCTACCATTCTCTGAAATGCCAAGGAATTTCTTCTCAATGTTAACTTTTTTTTTTTTTGGGTGGCACCTTCCAAAGCATCTTGGGCTCCCTCTATTGGCTGTTCAGCATCAAAACCTAACAAACCCTACTCTCCAAGTTAAGGGTCCTTATTTTAAAGCTGTTGAAAAAGAAAAGCTTCAAGGCTTGTTGAAGTAAAACCAGAACATGTTAATTACAGCTACGACCAAAAGAGGAAAAAAATGATCTTTGCCAAGTGAATGAGACCACAGTAGCAAACATACTTTTCAGTCTTCTAAGAGGTCATTAACATGCTCTATAATTACGTTTTTGGGAGTTTTTTGGGGAGGGTCAAATTACATATGTTTTATTCAATTTTACCGGGAATGTCTGCTTCCCATAGTTTTGTGTGGGCTCTTTTATCAGGTCAAGTACAATTTCTTTTTCTTTAATCATGTCAACAAGACCCCATTGCTTTTGACTCCAAAGATTCTGGAGGAAGTAAACAGACAGTCTTAATCCAAGCCACGCTCTTCCTCTTCTGCATAACAGTTGGAGAGATCAAGAGCAAGGGCCCACAAAAAAAGCACTCCCTTCCATCTCATCATCCCCAGCCTGTCCTGTCTTCTTCACTTCCCATCTCCCACCTCTCCAGGACCCCAGCTGCTATAGGCAAGACTCCGGGAGGAGAGAAGCAGAGCAGAGAGGAAGAGAGTCCGCGTTAGCGTCAGAAGACCCCAGCCCCTACCTGGCAAGGCAGTTTTCCTCCGCAGCACATCTCAAGTTGTACATGGACGTCCTCTGCACGTACGTGGACGCCTGAATGTAGTAGGGATCTGGCACCAGGTCTGGGAGACCTGCAAGTCGGCCAAGAATAATCAGAAATCCACCACCACCTTGAAACTCTGTTACTAACCTCGGCTTCCTGTCTAGCCTTACTACCCATTCTTTCCTCCAAACTCTTCCTCCCCGAACTGGATCCTTTCCACTCTAACACCCTTTCTTGTATTGAGACTAGGTAGAAGGAGGGATGGGAGTAAGAGAAAAAAAGACAACATGAGAATTTTTGCGAGTGATTATGTGGCAGTCTTTTGTGATCGTCAGGGAGTCTTATAGGGACGGGTGCGGCATTCTAGCCGAGTCAGGTCTTTTGGCTCCCCTCGAGAAGAGTAAGGTGGGCTGTTTTTGCTGGGGGCAGGGGCGGGAGGAGAGGGAGACAGCTCGAACTTTTTACTCATCGGCTTATTCGCGATTGTCACTTACCATACTGGAAGTATCCAGTCCCATAGCCAGGTCTGTACCTGCTTCCTGGACGTGGTCTCTCGTAAGTGTCATAGTAGTTGTAATAGGGATTGTCGTCTGAGTACTTGTAGGGGTTGTAGGGGTCGTCGCCCACCATGCCATCCACTCGGCTGGGAGCTCTGAGGTTGCTTAGGGTGGGGCGGCTACCCTCAGGGGTCTGGTTGCTGTCCTGGGCCGCAGGGCTGGGGCCCCGCGTTCGGCCCCCGGGGCTTCTGCTAGTGGTGGCAGTGGCTGCGGGGGAGGTGGACGCCGACGGTCCGCCCTGCTGCCGTTGCCCAGACGGCTGATAACCAGCTTGGAACCAGTGCCGTGCCGCCGGCTGTCTCCTGCTGTTCGTGCCGTCGTGGACCGGAGCGCCTACAGACGGCAGCGGGCGAGAGCGCGGAGAAGTGCCGTTGTTTCTGAGCAGCAGGACCGGCGACTGGAGAAGCGAGGAGGAGGCTGAGGAGGGGGCGGAGGAGCCCGCGGCCGAGTCCCTCCGGCGCGGAGGCTGGTACTCGGAGCCCAGGCTCAGAAGGCTGAACACCTGCCCGTTGTTCTCCCATTGAATCCTTTGCCTCCACACGGCTGGGGGAGGAGGGTCTCGTCGGGGCTGCTGGCAGGCCACTTGCAAAATGTAGCCCAAGTGTACGCACAGATGCAACCGAACAAGGATAACTGCGGGTGAAGGGAATTGCATCTCTTTCTCTCTCCTTTAATCTCCACAGACACGAAAAGTCTTGCTTAAAGAAATAAAAACAGGGAGGGGGGAAAAAAAACACTTGTGAGGGAAGGAAAAACCGTCTACCGACGTCTTTCAATAGCCACCTAAGGAGCGCCAAGGATAGAGTATAGACTGTAAAAAATAAAACAGACAACGCGGATGTGGCGTCTTACCCGTTCCCCCCCTTTCCCAGTGTTTATAGAAGAATGATGGGGAGAAGAGCAGAAGCAATAGCGAGCGGGCAGCCTCTCATCGTAGTCGTCCTGCTTTTGCTGGTGTCTGGAGTGAAAGAAGGAGGAGGAGGGATGCGAGATTTTAAACTTTCTGGCACATTTGCAAAGTTACACAAGCGTTTCTTGGCAGGGCTGCTCCTATGCTATTTGTTCACGTAATGCGATTGGAAACGTGCAAGTCTGACAGTTCCTCACATCTGCCCCCTCCCACCTAACCACCTCCCCCCAAGACACGTTGCACATAGAGAGATTTCTTTAAGGGGGAAGAACAAAAAAAGAATACATATCCAGCGAGAGACACACGCGACCCACATCTTAATCTTGGGCGAACATGCAGGAATTTCAGTGGACTCAGACACACTCAAGCAGCCAGACCATGAGACTGTGCCAAAGTATGCAGAGGGAAAAATGCTATTAGGTCATCAAACACAGGAAAGACTGGAAAGGGGGAGGTAGGAAGACTTAGACTTGACGGGAGTGGAGGGAACATGTTTTGGGGAAAATATTCTGGCTGAGAATTCCCTGTTCAGGAGGGGGAACAAAGCATATTTCCCAATACACTCTCAGTTATGGGAAATCCTCTCATCCTGTGAACTCTGAGCTATCAAATTTTGTTTTTCTGTGTGTAGGTAACATGAGAAATGGGTTACAAATTCATCTCCTGCAGTGAAATTTCTAAGTGAATTTTCACATGGGAGAAGGGCAGTGGATTCTGAAGTCCACAACCAGAATAAATAAACCCATCTCTCTGTTTCAAAAACTAAACCCAGAGGTCTGCTTTTATCGGAATGCGAAAAATCATCTTTCATCTTGACAGTGCGTTTTAGGAAGAGGTTGTTAAACAGGGATTGTTCAGAATTCGGCTGTAAATTAACATTGAACTGAGATTCCCTTCCCCATCCCCTCCCTCTATATAGGGGAGAAGGGTTTTGTTTTGTTTTATTTTCTATGAGCATTTATTAAATGTTCAATGCCACTAATATATCAATGACAAATAATAGGAGACATCAAGATCTCTGTCTGAAAAGCCTCCAAACCAAACAAGATTTTCCCGAGGACTAGGGAGTGTCCTTAGTGGGAAGGAGAATGGGAAGAAGGGTCAGTAATTCTGACTGGAATTAGTTGGCAAATGGAGTATGTCTGCTCACATGTCACTTTTATATTTTAGCAGTGCTGGAAACTTGTCAAAAGAAAAATGACACTGGTAAATACTTGTAAAGTATTGATCAAAATAACATTTTTAAAATAACTCATTTTAATGGTGCCTTTTTGTTTGTATATCACACATTCATTTCTGAATATAACCCAATTCTGTGCACTCCCTAGTGAGCCATTGCTTATAACAAAGATTTTTAAAAGAAAAAGGAGGAAAATTTATTTTATTTTATTTTAACAAAACAGTTATGGTTTCCCACTTCAAAGAAGGAAGGTGTGTTTTCTTAATTTTTCTGTGGCCAGGCTTGGTCATTGTCCTTTCAGTCCTTTAGGGTTTTTTGGTGGTGGTTGTTCTTTCCACTTACACTGTGAAGACTGGGCTAGTTTGGTTTTTCCCCCCTAAAAGGTAATGAAACCACTCTCCATATTTAATTGGTCTAACAATTCTCCAACTATTACATGGCTCCCAGGTCACTAGGTACAAAAACAGATCCTTGGGCTTCATACATGCTTCTCACCCTGAAGGTGACCATGAAAAATATGGAATCAAAGAAACTGTGCCCAACTCAGTCAATTCTGTATCCTTACTGAGCAACCTTTCTGTGCTAAAGCTCCTTCTGTTAACTGTCAGATGCTCTACAAAGTCTCATTTTGTTCCAAATCTGAATCTTGGAATTAGTCTGAGTTGGGCCTGACCTAGAAAAATGTTATATTATCATTTATATTATTTTCTTAGTTCTGCTTTTTTCACTTTGTACCAGTTCATATAAGTCTTCTAATGCTTTTCCTAATTCTTCATATTTATTGTTTCTTTATAACATATTCATATTCTATTTTATTTGTTATCACAATTTATTTCTAACTAATTGCTACCAAAAAGAAGTACATAGATATTTGGGGTCATATTGGGCTTTTTTTTTTCTTCCTTCTGTTTTTGACCTTCTTGGGTTATATGCCCAAACATGGTGGGGATCTTTGGGGCAAAGAGTATTGACCTTTTAGTCACCTAACCTGAACTTTCAATAACCTTATAATTGGTGCCCCTCATTTCTATCTCTCCCTTCTCTTGTCCCAATACCCAAACAGCTGCCAAAATGATCTTAAAGCACAAGTTTACAATATCACTTCCTGCTCAAGAATCTTCAGTGGCTTCCTATTGCCTATAGCAATAATTTTCAAACTTTTTGGTGTGCAACACACATATGTGTATATATATGTAATATATTTAGCATATACCCCAAATAATTTATGTTTATACAAATTATATGCATATACTACTTTACTAAGATGTACATTGTAAAACAAACAGGAAATAAAATAGGAATTTTTAAAATATGAGATCAAAGTGAAAAATTAAGGTTTATGTTATATTATTTATCAACGGTACAAACTGCTTTTGCTCACTAAAATCAATGTGATTGAATGTTCTTCATTTTTTTAAAATCCCTTTATATATTCTGTAAATAGAGAAGACTTATAAATGATAATTGTTAGTCTTTGATTATTCAGTTAATTTGACCATTATAAGCTAGCCAAGTAGGTGAATATCTTTTTTTAATCATATATTTATTTTATTTTTGTTACATTTTGAACTCTGAGAGTATCTTTTATAATATAACTTTTTGAGAGATACACAAGACAACAATCAAATAATAGGTCCTAACAGTTAGTGAACATAACAGATTTTCATCAGGTGTCGTATTTCTCCATTTACAGATGTTCCCCTCTTGCAATATAAAAATAGCAAGCAAAAATGAATTGTCTCTAATTTTAACTGTTGAAAATTTTTAATGTAACTCCATTCCTCTTTCTTTATATGGCTCTAATTAATGTGTGATATCTTGCTTAATTTCCTATTCATATTTGTATAAATTTACTTGTACTTTTGTATGCATGTAAGGAACGGCAAGAAAGCTAGTTTGGCCCATAGAGTGCAGAAAAGTGGAGTAAAGGTTGGAAAGGTAGGTTGGGGCTAGGTTCTGTTGGACTTTAAATGCTAAAGAGAGGAGAGAAGTGATGAGAGCTTCAGGGTAGTGACTGTGAAAGGTGAGAAGGAATAGATTTTTTAAAATGCTATCAACTTTTTGGACATGTAGGATGAGTGATGGTAATAGTTTGGATCCAGCATGTATTTCCAGATTTATTTCTCCTCACTCCCCTGTCACAAATACTACATTCAAGACATATTTACTTATTTCCTATCCATAAACTCAACATTCTATTTCTTTTCTCTGTACCTTTACATAATCTGCCTCTCAGATCTGGAATATATTTCCTTTTCACCTTTACCTCTTAGAGTCCTTTGCTTCCTTCAAGCATCAACTCAACTTTTCTGATTCCACAAATTGTGACAGCTTTCTCTCTTCTCAACTACTTTGTACTTACTTATCTGCGTCCAGAGGAGTTCTGGTAAATGTTTAACAATCAACTAGAGCAGGGGAGGGTCAGGGAATGCACAACACACTTTTAAACTTAATCTGCATTACTAACATTTTCTTCTTCATTTAACATAGCTTCTTCTTAATTCTAGACAATCAACAAAATAATAAATAAAGCCCTGATTTGTAGCATCTGACAATTTCAGAGATGTAAATACATACATTGAACATTGAACTCTCTATTTTTGGCAGACTCTAGTGCATCTCTGGTGGTATACTCTCCAGAACATGATCTTCCTGAGGTCATGTAATTTTCTCCTCCTCCTTCTTCTCCTCCTCCTCATCCTCATCCTTTATAGCACAGAGCCTTGATATAGTAGGCGATTCATAAATTCAATTTGAATTTTTTTGAATTGATTAGAACTTATGGGCTTGCTTGAGACAAAGTGAGTCAATTAAGTTTACCATGTTCCATTGCTATCCAGAAAAATCGTGTCCTTGATCACAATGGGGATGAGATGGAACAGCAGATTGTCACAATCCTTATTTGGCTCAAAGAGCATGTCCTAATAAAATTGAATCAGTGTTGTTAGTCCTCTTTGTATAAAGACAATTTCTATTCTGTGATTTTTCTTTAAGAGTAGCTCAAAATGCTTTAGATAGAATAAAGTTACATTGATTTTCACTCCCAAGCCCATCCTACCCTGATTCAACCTACTAAAGGAAATGACCAGAAAGGTACAAAGATTAAACTATAAATTCTTTGTTATTCTCCATATCATTTTCTAATTCTGCTTGATTTTATGGATACTCAACGTGTTGAAATTTATAGATCTTTATCCACTTCACCATGTGTTGAGATTGAGTGTTGAGTGTTGAGATTATTTCGTTGTTTTTGAATAAACCTAACAAAACTTACAAATTCAAATACCAATTGCCCCCTTAAAAGTAGTAGCCTCAGTGGGCCACACACTTATTCAAATGGTGCTTTGGAATACTTCTTTGGAAATTGCTTCCAGAGTTGGAGACAGCTTACTCAAAAACAGATATTTGTGGCCATTGAAGATATTGATTAAAGAATGTGCCACAAGTTGTAGAAGTGGTTCCTGAAGAGGAATAGTATTTTGAGTAATACTAGCATCATTAGAATAAATATGTGGCCTCTCAAGGCCTTTTATTTTACTTATTTCTAATATCTCACTTTAAAATGGACAACACTCATTTGACTTTGCATTTTCCATTACATCTGTTGAAATTGTATCCATAGTAGGCTATAGACACCTTACGTGTACCTTATTCAGTAACTCATAGTGGTAAGAACAACTTCTACTTGAGTCCTTGCTATGTAGTCCAGATTAGACTTTCCCTAAAGGGCAGTGAAGCTATCCCTTGAGCCTTGACTGGTACAGAGAATGGATCTGAAGCTGTTGAAGTGGTTTCTTGAAAATCTTAGATGTAAAAAGTCCAGCCCATGAGGAGTCAGATCCGCTAAGACTTGTTGGATGTCCTACTG